TGTAACAACTTAAATGGTGAAAAATAAAATTTATATTTTTTCTCCAAAATCAACGCTTTATTTTCTTATATATCTTATGTTATTACAACTGGGGTATATATACAAGATTCCTATCTACATATAAGGCAATTGACATTATAGTAAGGATTTTAATTGATTATAATTAATTATATCATTATGGGAAAAATTACGGAAATGATTATACAGGAAAAATATCTCACCTAATGGAAAAACAGATTACTCTAGTCAACATTTAGTCACTGAAGGAAGAAACTTGGTCCACTGCTGCATGCCATCAGTCTTTTCATTATACGAAAACATTCTTCCCACTCAAGTAACAGCCCCAAAAATTTTCAAAAGCATTTCCATAAAAAGAAAATCCAAATACCATGCATTTCCTCTTTTCCTTTAACATTTCTATATTATTTTCTAATGCCATAGCAGGATAATGAGCACGTTGCACATTCAACTTACCTGTTGTTTCATCAACTGCCTCCACCCAATCTCCTGTAAAGTGAGAAGGCAATGTAGAGACTGTGCTACAAGATGCCTCAGCAGGCCTCTCCCACTGGCTTGTTCCAGTACTTGCATTATAATAATATAAAGCACCACTTGCAGGATCTTTTGCCTCTGTCTGTATTAGGACTTAAATGAGTTAACAGAGCAAAAACAGAAACTAACAACCAGATACTATAAGACAACTTTAAATCAGTTCATCATTTATAAAATCCACTGTGTTACTGTTCCAAACTTTCATCCAGAATTAATCATCTAAGCTTATCAAGGATTTGAATATCAACCGTAATTGAAGATATTCAGAACCCCAGAAAGATGTCATAACACAATAAAAAGAACAAGAAAAAGACAATTGATAATGTTAAAAACTAAAATCTTAACAAAATAAGTCTTGATTCGATTCAAGTGGTGTAGCTATCTATCAAAACATGACATTGTATCACGTTGTCACAGGCATTAGCATTCTCTTTTTAATACATTTCATTTCCTTTTTCTTTTTGTTGTTTTGGAAGCAGCTTATTGATTCCTCTTTCCGAGATAAAAAGTTTTCCCTATTCTCTCCTGCAGAGTCAAATAAGATTAGGTGAAACACTTGTTTCATTCAAGTGCTTGTGGCTGAACATGTCAGAAAGGAAGGAAAGACAATGGAGATAACTCGGGAGAACTAAAAACAATTGCATCTAGTGTAAAATGAAAGAGTGAGTGGACTCATTCAACCGAACTTATGAGTGCAAATAACCGTACGGAATAACTCATTCATAAGAAGGTGAAGTTAACACCAATTATTGAAAATTAACAGAAAGCCAGTTGATAGTTTGATTACATGCATGTCAACCTAGAAAGGCACTGGTAAAGAATAGTCATAAAAAAATTTGCTAGACCAAACTGCTTGAAATAATTGAGAAATAAGTAATCTTCAAACAGCATACCAAAAGCACATGTTTCAAAAGAAGTAGAGGTAAAGAATTCCCAAAACCAGCCCCAACAGAATTTGAAACCACTGGTTACTTGAATAAAATTTGGTGAAGTGGCATATTTTCACAAGGGTAAACACTTGAAAATTATTATCAAGGAATTCACCAAACAAAATTAGAGTTAACAAATTCTCATTATAAGCACGCGGACGTGAAAATTATAGGAAGAACGGTTCAAGCAACTAAAGGGTGCAGACTTCCATCATGTAGCTAAAGTTGAAAGGTTGTCTGTAGCTTTCACTGCAGCAGAAACATAGCAAAAAAG